TGTCATTTTCTTAAAAACCAAATGCACATTACTATATGAGGAATTATACTCCTGGGCATTTATCCCAGAGAAGAAAGCTTTTTTTTGTCTACCCAAAAACATGTAGAAAAAGGTTCACGGTAGGTTTACTTCTAATAGCAGAAAAAATGGAACTCAAATGTCCTTGAGTGGATGAATAATTAAATAAGTTGTGGCATATCTACAGCATGGAATATTACTCATCAATAACAAGAAAACTTACTAGTGGGAGTTCCTCGGTGGTTCAATGCCTAAGACTCTGTGCTCCCAAGGAGGGGGCCCGGGTTCCATTCCTGGTCAGGGAACTAGATTCCATGTGCGGTAACGAAAACATCCCACATGCCACAACTAAGACTCGGCACAGCCAAATAAGTAAATGACAAAAAAATAATTTTTTTTTTAAAGAGACTTAATATTGATACACATGACCTCTTGGATGGATCTCAAGAGACTTAGGCTGAGCAGAAAAAAATTCAATCTCAAACAGTTATATACCACAGGATTCCATTTTTATAACATTCTTAACATGATATTACAGATAGAGAACATTCTAGTGTTTGCCAGACATTACGAATGGAAGAAGAGAAGGGAACAGGCCTGATAATAAAGTGGCAGCAGCTGGGGACTTTGTAGTGATATGACAGTTTTGCATCTTGATGAGGTGGCTGTTATACTAACCGACACGTGATAAAACTGCATAGAACTCTATTACACACACACACACACACGCACAAGTAAGTGCATGGAAAACTGGTAAAAACTGAAAACTCTCTGTAGTTTGTATATACGTTAATTTCCTTGTTTCAATATTGTGTTATAGTCATGTAAGATGTTACCATTGAGGGAAACTGGGTGAAGGATACATGCAACTTCTCTATATTATTTTCATAACTTCCTGTGGCTCTCTAGTTATTTTAAAAGAAAAAGTTATCTGGAAAATTTACAAATATTTGGGAATTAAACAATACCCTTCTAAATAACCTGTGAATCAAATAAAAGTCACAAAGACTAATACAACATACTTTGACCTGAATGATAAGGAAAATACAAATACTAAACACTGTGGAATGCTGGGAAAGCAGGGCTTAGAGGAAATTTTCTAGCTTTGGATATTTATAAGAAGAAGAGAGGTTTAAGATCAATGATAATATTTTACATCTAAAGAAACTAGAAAAAGTAGAACAAGTTAAATATAAAATAACCAAAAGAAAAGGAATAAGAAAAACAAGAGGAAATTGATAAAATATAAGATGAACAGACAGCAGAGTAAATCAATAAATTCAAAATTCTGGATAAATGCAAAAATTAATATAATTGATAAGTCTCTTGGTAAGATGATCAAGAAAAAAAAAAGAGAAACAAATACTTTAAAGGAAGTAAAAAAGATCTGTCACTATAGATTACATAAACATTAAAAGGATAACACTATCCAATATACTGACAACTTTAAAAGAAATAGACAAATTTCATGAAAAAAAATTACCAAAGCTGATAAAAGAAGAAATAAAAACTTTAAATAGTCTGAAATCTATTAAAATGTATTCATGGTAAAAGCATTGTGCCCACAAAAAACCTCTAGGCCCAATGAGCTTCTCCTACTATTTAAGAAAGAAGTAGTACCAACCCCACTTAACATCTTTCAGAAAAGAGATAGAATATTTCCCAAATTGTTTTATGAGACTAGCATTACTTTGATGCTAAAACCTGACAAAGATTACCAAAAAAAAGAAAAACTAGGGTAGGGTAGGGTAGTTACCCTTCACAATCATAGACATGAAAATCCTTAATATCTATTATTAGCTAATTAAATCTAACAATAAAATAAGGATAACACATTGATCAAGATAGGCTTACCTCAGAAATTCAAGGCTGACTGAACACTAAAATTGTAATTCATGATAGTAACTGAATGAAAGAGAAAAGCCACATGACTGTTTTGTTGGATGCAGAAAAAGTGTCTGACAAATTCAACATCCTATTATGATAAACTCTCTGAGCAAACTAACAATAGCAGAAAACTTTCTCAACTGGATGAAGGAACTACAGCTCACCAACACAACATGATGCATGTCAACACAACTTTGAATATTTTACTCCTACAATTGAACATGAAACAAGGATGTCCTGAAAGGATACACTATTTGAACTTATTCATTTGAATACACCATTGAACTCACCCAGGACCAGCAGCTTTATTTAACATTTCTATAAGTGATCTGGAAGATCCACAAGTGTGTAGATGCCACTGATGTCTTTCCGGTGAGGACAAGCCAAACTGTCAGCGCTCTCTCTACTGCAGAGCTTGTTTCCAAACTGTTGATCAGGATGTACTGGTGAATCGAAAACTCAATTTAGTAACTAAAGACCAAAGTACTCTTTAAAATTTACTAGACAAGACTAGAAAATGTTAGAATGAATATATCAAAGGGAAATTATTTTGTAACTTTTTTGTCTGAAATCCATTAGGCTGGCTTTTCCCCAAATGGTTTAAATTTTTCTTTCAGTGAGCAATGGCTGCTCAGAGTATGGGAAAGAGAATAGTGGTCGCAAACATTGGTAGTGATCCCAACCAAGCCTTGGCTGCCCGGTGTTTCAGTATACGTCTGGGAGTGTGTGTGAATGTTTGTACATGTTGAGTCATGATGTAAAATGTATTTCTGACTGTGAACTGTGGTAGAAAAAAAATTGTGAGACTTCATCAACTTGCAAAAAGTGATGATGTATGTATGTGTGGATATATGCAGGGGTCTGTGGGCTCTAATTTCCTGTTAGGAAGGACCTGCCTAACTATTTCCAACACACAGCATCAGATCACCAAAATGCTGAGCCTCACTAGTAAAGAAAAATCTTGTCCTGACTTGTCCAAAAGTATGCTCTCTGTACACCGAGAAGAAACAAAACAGAGGCGGGGGCTACAAACTCTCAGGATCGCCCAGTGCAGCTGCCCAGTGCTGCCCTGCAACACTCCAGAGGATGCTTTCACACAGACAGAAATGTGAATGGCTCCCCCTGGAGTTGAGCAGTGCACAACCCAAAGAACCCTACCAGGCAGCCTCAAGTATAGTGATTAAGAGCTCAAGCTTTGGAGTCCAACAAACCTGGGGTTCAACTCCAGATCTAATCTCGGGCTATATAACCTGAGGCAGGTAATATAACCTCCCTGAGCCTCAATTCCCTCAAGAGGACACATTATATATTCCTGGACTTAGTTCAGTGCCCAGCACATCGTGGTTCTCAATAAATGTGTTAAATAAACAGAAATGAGCTAATGACTGCCCAATGAGGTGGTGGTGAGAAGTAAATGAACATGTACAATGTTTTTACATTCAGTCTAAAAACTAGTAAGCACTAAACCAACCATCTACAAAAGATGACATCCTGAAATATTAAGATTCTTCACGATGAAAAGATGCATGAGAAGGAATTCTTTTAATTCAATAAAAAATAATCATAAGCTTTGAGAGAAGAGAAACATTAAAAGTAATATAACCTGGGTACCGTAGCACTTTGGTAAGGTGGGGATAATCCTTGATGCTTGAGAGTACATTTGGAACAAACAAAACGTAGGAAATGATCCATTTTGTTATTTCCCACTGTAGGTCAGGTAAGGGCAAAAAGTATAGATAACTTCAAAGCATTCTAGGAACGATACTGAGCTCTGAGCCATGGAATCGGAACCGTTTGGGTTCACTCCTGGTTGGGGGGCGCTGGGGGAGAGTGACCGCTCGGGGGACATGTGTTCCATCCTTCCCTGGTACTTATTTCCTGGTGCAACTGTGGCTCAGACGCAATCGTGACAACTCTTCACCCACCCCTATTAAATTCTCACAAGGGAGCAGGTCACCCCCGACTGAAAGCTCCAACCCAGCACCGACTCCTGTCCCCTCCGGCCTGTGGTCCTGCTTGCCCCCTTCCTCGCAGGAAGCCGCATCACCTCCAGAGAGATGGCTGATAACACAAGCCAGCAAAAGTACGTTCCCGGACAGAGGGATGCTGAGCCCCCAGGCGAGGTCACGCCAGTCAGCACTTAGAAAAGGAGGCGCTTCTCACACTTGCTAATGAGTTTGACGCTTGTGAAACACAAACAGGAAGTGGGAGCTCTCCAAAGCGACCAGAAGGAAATCCACTCCCAGCTTGGTCAACGTGTGAATCCCAGATGTCTAGGTTATCAAGGACACTGCCTATGAAGACTGAGCCCACCCCACCCGCCCCCTCCACTGCACCCGAGGCTGATCTTCACCAGGTCCCAGCACTGACCCCGTTTTTTTGTTGTTGTTGGTTTTTTTCAGTCCTTCCCACAGCCAGGTCATTCGGCGGCGGGGTGACTGACCCGAGGCGCGGTGGGAAAGGCTCACAGTCATCTCTCAACTCCCCGAACTTACAGGGCAGGGCAGCACAGAGGTCAGTGAAATCCCCAGCCAGGCCTTATTTTAGTCATGAATTTCCACTGGCTCCCTCCTCTGACAGCATCAGCGCTGCTCACAGAGCGAGCGGGCTTGGAGTTTCAGCTGTTTTCCCTGCTCCAGGCAGAGTTAGAAGGTCACAGAGGCCGGACTTTTCCGGGGGAGTAGGTGGGGGCCTCGGGCGGCCTCAGTAAGATTGCAGAGATCTGGGGCCGCTTGGAGGAGGCCCTTCTGCCCCAGGCTCCGGGCGATGGGTTAACGTCTCCCCTCTCCTCCTCTGCCCAGACATTGTGGTTCACATTAGATTTTTAAAAAGATTTTTTTTAATAAAAAAAAATTTTTTAAGCCCACACTTTCTATCTTTTCTTTTCCCCTCTCTCCGCCAGCAGCACCCATATAATTTTTCCAGTACTGCCTTCCCCTCATTTCCCAGGGTAAGCCCTTCTCAGAGGTTCCCGTGAATTCAAGAGCAGCATCTGTGCTCGATTCACCTACAGGGTATCTAGCAGCGTATCTAAGCCCAACGCCGGGCACAGAGTAGGGGGCTCAACGCTTGTCGAGTGAATGAACGCTAAGACGTCAGCGTGAAGGGCAGTTTTTCCAAGTCTCTCTTTTCCCTCCTGCCGGGGTGCTGACCACACACTGCGCCGCCGAAGTCCCCGGCAGGAGGAGATGGCCAACCCCGACCCCCGGGGACCCGCGGTGCGCTCTGGGGTCTCGGCCCCCGGCCGGGGCAGAAGGTCTCGCAGTCAGGAGCGCTGCGGCCCAAGTCCGGGCCAGGTGAAGTGTCACGCCCCGCGCTGCCGCAGGGCAAGCGCCGCTGCCGCGGTTGTGTAACGCTGCAGCCCAAGGGGAGGGGACGGGGCGCCTCTGCTCCAGTGGGGGCAGAGGAGGGAGGAAACGCAGGGCACCGCGCCCGGCCTCTTTCTGCGCTTGATCAGCCCAAGTGTGGGCCGGGACAGGGGGTGGGGGCACTGGGGCGCCCTGGGGGGGTGCGCAAGTGGGTGTCCGCCGGCACGCAGACTGCCCCGGGAGCGCAGCTCCAAGGGAGCCAGGGACCCGCGGCGCACAGCCTAGCGGGTCAGGTGCGCGCAGCGTGCTCCGCGGCGGCCTCGGCTGCCCCTGCGCTTGGCTGCCGGCCCGCTTCCCATGGGGTGACATCCGCCCCGCCCCTCCGCGGCCCCTCCCCACGGCGGGCGATTCCTGGACTCGGGGCCGAGGGATGGGGGCAGGGAAGCCAGCGCGGAAAGAAACCCCAGCCTCTGGGGAAGGCGGGGGGGGGGCGGGGGGGGGAACGACTCCCTCCGCTGCGCGCTGGTTCCTCCGAGCGGACGGCGCGGGGGGAGGAGGAGGAGGAAGAGGGCTGGGCTGGAGCGAGCGAGGGGATATTCCTCTCCCGGCTTGAGTCAGACGCGGGCGGATCCGTCCTCCCCCAGTTCCCTCCCAGGAGACGGGAACTTACTTCATTTCCCTGGGGCAGGTTCGCCCACGTTACCAACCTCCCCCACCCCCCACCTCCCGGGCTCCCTGGCCCCTTCCAGCTTCCGCGCCCCCCGCCCGGCGAGGCAGGACCCAGACTATCCTGCCACCCCCCTCTTCGGGGAAAGGCAGCCGCAGACACCTGGGGCCCGGGGCTGGGGGTGGGGGCTCCCTCGCAGCCGCGGGAGCGTTGTCCAACACGTGAGACTCATGTGATGAAGCCGGGGGAGGGCGGGCAGGTCGCTCCTTCCCTCCCCGGCAGCGGCCAGACGTGCCTGGAGTCACAGGGTAGAACACGTAGCTCCAACCCACCCACTCGCTCCCATTTAACCCAGCCCGCAGCCTCTCCATTACTCCTCGGCTCTCCCCCCCACCCCCCCTCCGCCCTAACCACCGCCGCCCCCCCCCCCCCCCCGCGCGCTCCCTCCCGCCTCCCCGCCCGCCCCACTTCTCATTCACTTGGCTCGCACCGCGCAGACGGCACTGGGCGCACACACCGCCAGTCTGCGCGCAGAGCCGGAGCCAGAGGCCGCGATACACCATGCACGCCCCCAACTGAAGCAGCACCTCAAAGCCGCAACTCCTCGCAGCCCAGCGGATTTCAGAGAGCTCTGACTCAGAGGAAGCCTTGCGGAGAGACCCCCGAAACCTCCTCCACGACAGTCCTCACCCGACGCTCCACCACTGCAGACAGGAGCGCAGAGTGGCCCCGGCTCGCAGCGCAATGGAGCGGATCCCCAGCGCGCAACCGCCCCCCACTTGCCTGCCCAAAGCGCCAGGACTGGAGCCCGGAGACCTACCAGGGTAAGTTGGCACCCCTGGCCCCTTCAAGCCTCAACTCCAGTCCTGCCTTCTGCGCGGCTTTCAACTCCAAGTAGTTCTGGGTGCAGCCGGGGGTTCTTGCCAGTCAGGGCTCCTGCAGCCGATGCGCAAGTCATGACCCATCCTCGTCTCTCTCCCTGCAGGATGGATTTTGCCCATATGTACCAAGTGTACAAGTCGAGGCGGGGAATAAAGCGGAGCGAGGAGAGCAAGGTAAGAGTGGACCCCAGCCCCTCGCACGTTCTGAGTTTCCAATAAAAGTTTTCTCACTTTAAGGTGGGAGGGGGCTATGCAAGGTATGGGCCCTGTGCCTCTACTGAGTGGCTTGGAGAAGAAGGGACAGTGAGGGTTCTGGGTGTGACTCTGCTCCGCTGCCCAGACTCCTCAGCCGCGGGGTGGAGAAGGAGAAGCGCTTTTCACATCCTTCCTCCCGCGCCCACCGTCTCTCCGTGCGCTTTGCAGGAGACCTACAAACTGCCGCACCGGCTCATCGAGAAAAAGAGACGTGACCGGATTAACGAGTGCATCGCCCAGCTGAAGGATCTCCTCCCCGAACATCTCAAACTTACAGTAAGTGAGAAGCTGGCCCCTCTCCAAACCAGCTCCTCTGCCCAGAGGGCGGGCGAGGGTCACCCGCCGCCTGCAGGCTCCGCCAGGAACTGCAAACCAGATGGATGGATCCTAGCTAGTGGCTGGCTCTGTTTTGGGGGTACCCTTCTCCAGTCTAAGAATTTTCTGGCAACCTCCTGCAAATGAGATAAGAATCATTTGTACTTGTCCAGCTTGGCACCAACACCAGCCGGCCTTTCTTTGCTGGAGTTTGAGGCTTTCGCTTCTGGTGATTCTCAGGGTTCTCCTTTTTCCACATTGAGCAAATCCAGCAACGCACTATTTTTTTTTTTTTACCCCCTTCCCCGCACCCCTTTTTAAAATAAGAGGACTTGTTTTGATGTGTCATTTTTTTCTTTTATGTCCTGTCCTTTCTTGGCGATCGTCAATAGCTTACTAGCTTGGCAGCCTTTGGTTGGGGAAAGAAGAAAAACTAGTATTTAGGAGAAAAAATAGTATTTAGGAAGGAAGAACAAAGCGTAGATGAGCTAGAAGTTATGACAGGGTGTCAGGGAAGAAACTCGGGAAAGCCTCTTGGCTGCCAGACACAGTAGAAGTCTCTACTAGGGTTGACACCACTGCAGAGAAATGTTATCTCCGGATTCCCCTGAGTTAAGGTCAGCAACGGCTGCTGGAAAAATTTATCTGTCAAAGCTTTCTCCTGAGCTAGCTGCTGCTTCCAAAATGCTTCCAAAGATGGGGGACACTTGTTTGCTGTCCTCTAATCAATAATATATGCATATATACATATTTTTAAACATCATCTATAAACTTAAAACTTAGTTTAGCCAACCAGGAACAGTTTTTTTTACCCCCCTTTAGAGACATTCATTGGTGGCGGTTTAGTCGCCTAGTGGTGTCTGACTCTTGCGACCCCATGGAGTGTAGCCCAGGCGGCCGACAAATCTCATGGCTAATTAGTATCCCAGAGGTGGGACTTCTCTGAGCTCACTGCTAACGGAGGCCCTTTTTATTCCAGACTTTGGGTCACTTGGAAAAAGCAGTGGTTCTTGAACTTACCTTGAAGCATGTGAAAGCATTAACAAACCTAATTGATCAACAACAGCAGAAAATCATTGCCCTGCAGAGCGGTCTGCAAGCTGGTGAGTACCATGTCTGACTATCATCTCCTTAGAGTTCTAGCACAAATAGAGAGCCTATGAGCTCAACATCTGGTCTAAGAAACATTCCTGCAACAAATTGCTTATGCACGTTAGTTGGGGGAGATGCTGTTTTATCTTTCCTAAAAGGTCACACTTTTCATTTGGAATGCTGCTGTGTGCCACCTGGCATGAATACGTATTAGTCAAATGGTAAAATATTTCTGTGGCATTTTGGCTTAAGAATTTCTGGGGTTCTGGGAGTCCCCCCCCCACTTTGAAAATGCCAAGGCACCTATAATTTGCATCGTGGGTGTTTTACAGTTGTTCTCTTTAGCCCTGTTTCATTGGAGAATAAATCATGGATATGCCCCACTGTTTTAGTGCTTCTCCACTTCCTTATCCCTTGGTGTGTGGTATGAACCTGGCAGGATGACAGCAGTAGTTTTTCCTGCATTTCATGTGGTTCCCTGAATAGCCACTAGGTATATCTCGGTGAATTACACAATCTAACGAAACCACTGAAGTTTCATCACCCATTTCTACGGACTTCCAGAGAATCACAGTCATCTAACCGTCTGGTCTCACCCTTTCCAATAATACTGAACAAACGAGGGAGAAATTCCTCTACCCACTCCCTCATTCTTCTCTGCCCTCCTTTCCAAACTAGTACAATGAGAATCACAAAAACATAGCAAGTTGTTCTGCCAGTTGCCTCGTTGAAAACAGAAAGATGATCATACCTAACCTCCTGGGGATCCTAGATAGACTATATGAGAAAGACCTAGAAATAGCCTTTAAATATGGCAGCATGACTGCAACTTGTATAAGTCACTGAAAATAAGCGTACCTTAGGTGACATGGTTCCTTCATCCTCATTTTTTGACTGTCTGGTCACTGTCCATCTCGCTATGGTAAGATGATGTTCTGTAAATTGACTCTGGTTATGAGCACACTGATGATTATGGCTGTGTCACTTCTAATGAAAACCCAGAACTCCTTGTAAATGCAACAAGAGGGGGAACCGTCTATCTCCATTAAATGTGGTCTATGCCTATGACATTATACAGCCATTACAAACCATATTTTACCTCTGAGAGGTAGAATTATGGATGATTTTTAGTTTATTCTTTATACATTTCTGGGTAATTCTAATTTTCCCTGATCATATTACTTTTGGAGTTAGGAACACAATCAGCAAATGCTATTAGCAACAAGGAAAGCCCTGGGGTCTTTGGAACATAGGTATCCATGTGAACCACAGGGCCTTCTGAAATGTCTTCCTTTGGATCTATGTTGATCCAGGTGATCTGTCGGGGAGAAATGTGGAAGCAGGTCAAGAGATGTTCTGCTCAGGTTTCCAGACATGTGCCCGGGAGGTGCTTCAGTACCTGGCCAAGCATGAGAACACTCGGGACCTGAAATCTTCACAGCTTGTCACCCACCTCCACCGTGTGGTCTCCGAGCTTCTACAGGGTGGTACTTCTAGGAAGCCATCAGACCCAGCCCCCAAAGCAATGGACTTCAAGGAGAAACCCAGCTCCCTGGCCAAAGGCTCCGAAGGCCCAGGCAAAAACTGTGTGCCAGTCATCCAGCGAACTTTCGCCCACTCGAGCGGCGAGCAGAGTGGCAGTGACACGGACACAGACAGCGGCTACGGGGGAGAATCGGAGAAGAGTGAGCTGCGTGTCGAGCAGCCGTACTTCAAAAGCGATCATGGACGCAGATTCACCATGGGAGAAAGGATCAGTGCTATTAAGCAAGAATCCGAAGAACCCCCCATGAAAAAGAGCAGAATGCAGCTCTCCGATGATGAAGGCCCTTTCAGTAGCACTGACCTGATCAGCTCCCCATTCCTGGGCCCACACCCGCACCAGCCTCCCTTCTGCCTGCCCTTCTATCTGATCCCACCGTCAGCAACTGCCTACTTGCCCATGCTGGAGAAGTGCTGGTACCCCACGTCCGTCCCGGTGTTATACCCGGGCCTCAACGCCTCTGCCGCAGCCCTCAGCAGCCTCATGAACCCAGACAAGATCTCGGCCCCCTTGCTCATGCCCCAGAGACTCCCTTCCCCACTGCCGGCCCATCCTGCCATCGACTCTTCTGCCCTGCTCCAAGCTCTGAAGCAGATCCCCCCTTTAAACTTAGAAA